AAGAATATATTATTGATATAGATTTTTGAAACTAAACTTTAATTTAATATAGATTCAGTTTTACTTTTTTTTTACTATTTTTTGTTAGCAGTTGAAGTTTTGTTATTTTACATATCATTTCTATTCACATATAAATTGAGAACTAACGCAAAATAACAGCACATAAATATTTACTTCGATTATATGAACATTTAATGCTAGTTGAGCTGCCCTTGAGTGGTTCATTTTCCAATTTATTGTGCTGGCATCAAGCTCTACGCAAACAGACCTAGCCCAATCTAAATATAGCTACACCCATATGCAGATGTGGCCATAAATCACACACACACACACACACACATACGCATATTCACACACACACGCCCGCACACACTCGACAAAATAAAAAAGTAAGTGAAGAAAAATGAAAGAAAAACTCAGACTGAGCTGCGTTCAGTCAACCAAGCAACCAACTAACCAGCTGAAAAGGCTTTAAAAGTCACAAAAAAAGGACAAGAAAAGAGATGGGAAGATAGAGAGAAAAAGAGACACAGAAACTAAAACGGGTTAATAGAGGCAGGAGACGGAGACCTCTGACAAGACAAGTGGGTGCGTTCATGCGAAAAACTTGTAAACGCAGCACCAGCTAGTTAGTTAAGTGGGCGGGGCAACAGCTCAGCCCCAATATTCAAAAAAGAAAAAAGTCCCTGGCTGTCCCTGAAGCATATCGAAGCCGAGCAACAGCAACAACAGCAGCAGCACAAAAATCAACATCAATTTAGAATATTAAAAACGCAAATCCATGTTGGCAGCGAGAGACTTTGGTTAGGGATATGGCACTTACCCGCCACTTGCAGCGTCGCATTGCGACTCCGTGCCACGCCCAGCTCGTTCTTGGCCTCGCACCAGTAGACGCCAGCATCTGTTTCGCGACGTGAATTGACAACCTGCAAGCAAGCAGAAGCAGACAATGAGATGAGGTTCAGCTCGAGAAGCTGGAGCCAAATGTGAGCAAATTTTAATTGAAATGAGTAAAAGATTGTGTTTTTTCTTCGCTGTCACTTAGCGAGGGTCAGCCGGGTATGCCCGACTGCAATGAGAGTTGAGGGTTGTTATTGTATAGCCTATTTTTATGTAGTTTAATATATTATCAAAT